TTTTCATAACGTTTTGAAACTTTATGAGAATTTCCTGCCCACCTAACCTATCAGAGGACCCTTAACTTACTGTTGTTGAAAAAAAAATCCCAAATTTATTTTCATTTTTTTTTCATTTTCAAATTACGTCCAAATTCGGCCATACGGGCAAACGGCTAAAAGCGACGTTCTTTTTAAGAGGACAGGTTGGCCCGACAGAAGAGTTATGGGGGGCCATGATCACCACATACAAGATTCTCAGATGAACTGATACGGTAGATAAAGACACTATTTAAAACCAGGGGCACACGGACACAGGTGGAAATTGAGTGCCCAAATGAGCCATAGAAACATTAGAAAGATTTTTTTTCAGTGTCAGTAGTAGATAAGTGGAATGCATTATGCAGCGATGAGGTGGAGGCTGACTCCATACACAGCTTCAAGTGTAGATATGATAGAGCGCAATAGGCTTAAGGCCCTGGACACCAGATGATTGACAGTTGACAGGCGCCAGAGCTCAACCCCCGCAAGCACAATTAGGTATGTACAGCGATAAGGGGGGAGCCCTGGGAGAGGGGGGGGGGAGATGAGGGGAAGCGTTACTCTGTAGATTCTGTGCGATATTAACTCCCCCCCATCCCCCATTCAGGTCAGTCCTCTCACATTAAGTACTTCGTATTTGGCTGCTTCCTGCAAAATAACATTAGCCTCACAATGTTATTACTTTGCACTTGCACGAGTTAAGCTCTAGTAGCCACTTTGAGGGGCCATACTTTTTTAATTTTTCCTGATCATCCTGTAGTTTCTCGCAGCCTTCCGTAGTATGCATGCCGATAATTTTTGCTGAAGAAAACATTTTTTCAAAGAGGAAATCTACCCCTTTTGGAGGATAATTTACATCGATTTTGAATCAAATTGAGACTAACACCGACCTTTGAGTGACACTACAGCCAGGAACGTGGGCGGGGGCGGGCCAGGAACGTGGGCGGGGGCGGGCCAGGAACGTGGGCGGGGGCGGGCCAGGAACGTGGGTGGGGGCGGGCCAGGAACGTGGGTGGGGGCGAGCCAGGAACGTGGGCGGGGGCGGGCAGGAACGTGGGCGGGGGGGGCCAGGAACGTGGGTGGGGGCGGGCCAGGAACGTGGGTGGGGGCGGGCCAGGAACGTGGGTGGGGGCGGGCCAGGAACGTGGGCGGGGGCGGGCCAGGAACGTGGGCGGGGGCGGGCCAGGAACGTGGGCGGGGGCGGGCCAGGAACGTGGGCGGGGGGCGGGCCAGGAACGTGGGTGGGGGCGGGGTTGGCCAGATGAGGTGGAGTGACGGTTCAGTAGAGGGGGGGGGGAAATGACGGTACAGTAGGGGGGGACGGTACAGGAGAGGGGGGTGACGGTACAGTAGAGGGGGGTGACGGTACAGTAGAGGGGGTGACGGTACAGCAGAGGGGGGGGGGGGGTGACGGTACAGCAGAGGGGGGGGGGGGGTGACGGTACAGCAGAGGGGGGGGGGGGGTGACGGTACAGCAGAGGGGGGGGGGGGACGGTACAGCAGAGGGGGGGGGGGGGGACGGTACATTAGGGGGAGGGGGGGGGGTGATGGTACAGTAGAGGGGGGGATGGTACAGTAGAGGGGGGGGGGACGGTACAGTAGGGGGGGCCTAGAACATGATCAGGCTAAACTGAACACAACCTTGGATTATGTAATGTCATAAAAAATCTAATTTCGAATTTAACAACTCTTGACTCGCCCGGATTTTTTGTCTTAACTAAAACTTTTAATAAATTGATTGGTTTTGTTTACTTATCGAAGGAATACTATTTTCATTTTTAAGTTGTATCTACTCCTAAAGCCTAACCACTTTGGCTGGACGGTAGAGCAACGGTCTCGCTTCATGCCGGTCTGCGTTCAATCCCCCGACGGTCCAAATGATTGAGCACCATTCCTTTCCCCGTCCCATCCCAAATCCTGGCCCTTCACAGTGCGATATATCGTGTTTTTCACCAAAGGTCTTTAAAAATGGCTAGAAATGAGTCAATAACTTTTTAATTTAATATCGTCACATTTACTATAAACGCGGTATAATAAAAATATCATTACTTAAATTCGCAGTCAATTTTTTTATATTTACACAGTCTGAACGGACAAACTTTCCCAGTTTTGGTGTACTAACGCGAAATTAACATATATTGGCACGTGCGCGAATATTTTTGTACGTCAGTCAACGTGACTGTCAGTTCTGGTAAACTGGAATATGAAACATTTCCTGAAGACGGACCACCTAAGTTTGACTTTTGGTTAATATATTTTGTTTTGAGTCAAGGCGGCTTGTGTGTACGTACACGTACACGTGTGTACACACACACACACACACACGTTTTTGTCAAGTACACAGCCGAGTATATTTGTGTACGAGCAAGTAATAGTGTAGCCTGGTGGTGCACGAATGGTGTAGCCTTTTGGTGGTGGTGGCACGGGAGGACAGAAGGGTGTAGCCTGGTGGTGGTGGTGGCACGGGAGGACAGAAGGGTGTAGCCTGGTGGTGGTGGTGGCACGGGAGGACAGAAGGGTGTAGCCTGGTGGTGGTGGTGGCACGGGAGGACAGAAGGGTGTAGCCTGGTGGTGGTGGTGGCACGGGAGGACAGAAGGGTGTAGCCTGGTGGTGGTGGTGGCACGGGAGGACAGAAGGGTGTAGCCTGGTGGTGGTGGTGGCACGGGAGGACAGAAGGGTGTAGCCTGGTGGTGGTGGTGGCACGGGAGGACAGAAGGGTGTAGCCTGGTGGTGGTGGCACGGGAGGACAGAAGGGTGTAGCCTGGTGGTGGTGGTGGCACGGGAGGACAGAAGGGTGTAGCCTGGTGGTGGTGGTGGCACGGGAGGACAGAAGGGTGTAGCCTGGTGGTGGTGGCGGCACGGGAGGACAGAAGGGTGTAGCCTGGTGGTGGTGGTGGCACGGGAGGACAGAAGGGTGTAGCCTGGTGGTGGTGGTGGCACGAGAGGACAGAAGGGTGTAGTCTGGTGGTGGTGGTGGTGGCACGGGAGGACAGAAGGGTGTAGCCTGGTAGTGGTGGTGGCACGGGAGGACAGAAGGTGTAGCCTGGTGGTGGTGGTGGCACGGGAGGACAGAAGGGTGTAGCCTGGTGGTGGTGGTGGCACGAGAGGACAGAGGGTGTAGTCTGGTGGTGGTGGTGGCACGGGAGGACAGAAGGGTGTAGCCTGGTAGTGGTGGTGGCACGGGAGGACAGAAGGGTGTAGCCTGGTGGTGGTGGTGGCACGGGAGGACAGAAGGGTGTAGCCTGGTGGTGGTGGTGGCACGGGAGGACAGAAGGGTGTAGCCTGGTGGTGGTGGTGGCACGGGAGGACAGAAGGGTGTAGCCTGGTGGTGGTGGTGGCACGGGAGGACAGAAGGGTGTAGCCTGGTGGTGGTGGCACGGGAGGACAGAAGGGTGTAGCCTGGTAGTGGTGGTGGCACGGGAGGACAGAAGGGTGTAGCCTGGTGGTGGTGGTGGCACGGGAGGACAGAAGGGTGTAGCCTGGTGGTGGTGGTGGCACGGGAGGACAGAAGGGTGTAGCCTGGTGGTGGTGGTGGCACGGGAGGACAGAAGGGTGTAGCCTGGTGGTGGTGGTGGCACGGGAGGACAGAAGGGTGTAGCCTGGTGGTGGTGGTGGCACGGGAGGACAGAAGGGTGTAGCCTGGTGGTGGTGGTGGCACGGGAGGACAGAAGGGTGTAGCCTGGTGGTGGTGGCACGGGAGGACAGAAGGGTGTAGCCTGGTGGTGGTGGCACGGGAGGACAGAAGGGTGTAGCCTGGTGGTGGTGGCACGGGAGGACAGAAGGGTGTAGCCTGGTAGTGGTGGTGGCACGGGAGGACAGAAGGGTGTAGCCTGGTAGTGGTGGTGGCACGGGAGGACAGAAGGGTGTAGCCTGGTAGTGGTGGTGGCACGGAGGACAGAAGGGTGTAGCCTGGTAGTGGTGGTGGCACGGGAGGACAGAAGGGTGTAGCCTGGTAGTGGTGGTGGCACGGGAGGACAGAAGGGTGTAGCCTGGTAGTGGTGGTGGCACGGGAGGACAGAAGGGTGTAGCCTGGTGGTGGTGGTGGCACGGGAGGACAGAAGGGTGTAGCCTGGTGGTGGTGGTGGCACGGGAGGACAGAAGGGTGTAGCCTGGTGGTGGTGGTGGCACGAGAGGACAGAAGGGTGTAGCCTGGTGGTGGTGGTGGCACGAGAGGACAGAAGGGTGTAGCCTGGTGGTGGTGGTGGCACGAGAGGACAAGGGTGTAGCCTGGTGGTGGTGGTGGCACGAGAGGACAGAAGGGGTAGCCTGGTGGTGGTGGTGGCACGGGAGGACAGAAGGGTGTAGCCTGGTGGTGGTGGCACGGGAGGACAGAAGGGTGTAGCCTGGTGGTGGTGGCACGGGAGGACAGAAGGGTGTAGCCTGGTAGTGGTGGTGGCACGGGAGGACAGAAGGGTGTAGCCTGGTGGTGGTGGCACGGGAGGACAAGGGTGTAGCCTGGTAGTGGTGGCACGGGAGGACAGAAGGGTGTAGCCTGGTGGTGGCACGAGAGGACAGAAGGGTGTAGCCTGGTGGTGGTGGTGGCGGCACGAGAGGACAGAAGGGTGTAGCCTGGTGGTGGTGGTGGCACGGGAGGACAGAAGGGTGTAGCCTGGTGGTGGTGGCACGAGAGGACAGAAGGGTGTAGCCTGGTGGTGGTGGTGGCACGAGAGGACAGAAGGGTGTAGCCTTGTGGTGGTGGCACGAGAGGACAGAAGGGTGTAGCCTGGTGGTGGTGGTGGCACGAGAGGACAGAAGGGTGTAGTCTGGTGGTGGTGGTGGCACGGGAGGACAGAAGGGTGTAGCCTGGTAGTGGTGGTGGCACGGGAGGACAGAAGGGTGTAGCCTGGTGGTGGTGGTGGCACGGGAGGACAGAAGGGTGTAGCCTGGTGGTGGTGGTGGCACGGGAGGACAGAAGGGTGTAGCCTGGTGGTGGTGTAGGACAGGTGGAGGAGGACAGAAGGACACAGCCGGTACAGACCTGGTGCAGGAACCCCGTGGACAGCACACAGGTGTGACGGGTGATGGTGGTGACAGTACTCCGGGGGCGGGCCGGGGTAATAGGCGTCCCCTGTGAAGTACTCCGGGGGACAGTAGGGGGGCGGAGGCCCCTGAGCCATAGGCGGGGGCGTGTACTGCTGCTGGTGGTGATGGTGATGGTGGTGATGCTGCTGCTGCTGCTGCTGCTGGACGCCACCCTCCACGCTGCTGCTGCTGCTGCTGGCCGGAGTGCCGTTAGCCGTGGGGCTGCTGCTGTTGCTGCTGCTGCTGGCCCCGTTAGTGGTCTGCTGGGGGACCCCGCCGCCGCCGCCGCCGGCAGACACAAGCTGCTGGTGATGGTGGTGGTGGTGCATCATGTCAGCAGAGTGGGCGTGGGGCGTGGACCCGTCTATGTAATAGGTCGGTCCTGGCCCGGCCACCATCGTTGTCAACATAGAGCCTTTTGGGCACGCCTGTGTCGCCGACACCGCGGGCGATCACAATATGGGCGTGTGGGCGTGTTTTAAGGCACTTTAAGGGGGGGGCGGGGGCGAGATGGGCGTCTCCTAAGTATACTCCGATATACACACACGAAACATACACATATACACGGGGTCTGTTTGGTTTTAAACAAAGTAGCAGGACTGCTTTAAAAAAAACACGGGTTTGGTGTCACTTATCTATCATCATATACGCACCTGTGCCTTCTCACACAGACCATACTGACACTTAGCCCACCCTCCTGCACGACTGCACTCGAAACACTCACTACAAATCAAACAGTAAGGATAGGGGGCCATGGAAGGTGTCCGGGGACGCGGGACACATGAGACGTGCGCCCTCCACCCGCGTGTCGCACCAACTGGTCCTAGAACGTTCGCCGATGCACGAACGCACCAACCTTGCCGAATGTCGCCGGCATTTATGTTTTTCGTCGCTGTGAAGAAATCACAACCCACAAATTATCATTCACTATGTATAATATTCATTCACTATTCAGTATTTTCATCTAAATAATAACAAAACGTGTTACGCAAGGAGCAGCTCATATTACAAAACATGTAACAGAAAATGCACTCCATATGGCAAGAGTGTCTGGTGCTGCCATCTACCGGCGCCAACCGCAACCTCGCTCGGTTGTAGCGTAGGCCTGAACAAATACTAGTTTATCATCTGAATACATCACCTTGAATTCTGTTCCGGGTATCTGATCTACGTCAAAATAGTCAGCTTAAAACAATTAGATGACGAAGCGCATAATTATATGCTTATTTCCACACACTAGTAACTGAAACATTCATCTCCCTGGCTATGAAAAATAGAGGTCGAGCCCCCTAAACTAACATACATTTTCAATATTCAATAATATACAATCTTCCTAAGCATCATCTCATTCTTAAAGCCTTTTATCATCACTGTATAACGAATCTCTCCATAAGAAAACAAAGCAGCCACAGTGCAGACGGGTAGCAGATGCTGGAGCAACCATCATTTAAAGGGGATAGACATTGCTTGAAATTTTGTCTAGGAATTGTTTTAAAACACACACCCACCCCTCCTGACCTACTTCGTCCACACGGCCACACCGATGGATTCCTGGTTTAACCTCGACGTTCGACGCACGTCTGGGCTCCTTTCTGGTGTGGTCTTTGCCGCAGCAACCCTTTGGTGATCTTCCTCGTTGGGTCAGAGGAAGGTCTGACTTGGCCACAAGGCGCCATCCTGGATGACAACGCCTGGGGAGCACGCACCGCCAGCTTCATGTCACGGGGGAAGTAGATGGATTTTTTTCAATTTTCCGCTTTGATCTTTGGCCGGAGAATTGTCGTTGTCTTGGCCGACGGGTTCAGTTTTTCATAATATATATATATATATATATATATATATATATATATATATATATATATATATATATATATATATATATATATATATATATACATATGGAAAGTTAGTTGAGTAATCTCCATAGTGTAGTGGTACAGTACTCGCCCTACGAGCTCTTTTGGCCTGAGAGGACCACTAACAACACTGGGAGGACCACTAACAACACTGGGAGGACCACTAACAACACTGGGAGGACCACTAACAACACTGGGAGGACCACTAACAACACTGGGAGGACCACTAACAACACTGGGAGGACCACTAACAACACTGGGAGGACTACTAACAACACTGGGAGGACCACTAACAACACTGGGAGGACCACTAACAACACAGGGAGGACCACTAACAACCCACAACACTGGGAGGACCACTAACAACACTGGGAGGACCACTAACAACACTGCGAGGACCACTAACAACACTGGGAGGACCCACTAACAACACTGGGAGGACCACTAACAACCCACAACACTGGGAGGACCACTAACAACACTGGGAGGACCACTAACAACACTGCGAGGACCACTAACAACACTGGGAGGACCCACTAACAACACTGGGAGGACCACTAACAACACTGGGAGGACCACTAACAACACTGGGAGGACCACTAACAACACTGGGAGGACCACTAACAACACTGGGAGGACCACTAACAACACTGGGAGGACCACTAACAACACAGGGAGGACCACTAACAACCCACAACACTGGGAGGACCACTAACAACACTGGGAGGACCACTAACAACACTGGGAGGACCACTAACAACCCACAACACTGGGAGGACCACTAACAACACTGGGAGGACCACTAACAACACTGGGAGGACCACTAACAACACTGGGAGGACCACTAACAACACTGGGAGGACCACTAACAACACAGGGAGGACCACTAACAACCCACAACACTGGGAGGACCACTAACAACACTGGGAGGACCACTAACAACCCACAACACTGGGAGGACCACTAACAACACTGGGAGGACCACTAACAACACTGGGAGGACCACTAACAACCCACAACACTGGGAGGACCACTAACAACAATGGGAGGACCACTAACAACACTGGGAGGACCACTAACAACACTGGGAGGACCACTAACAACACTGGGAGGACCACTAACAACCCACAACACTGGGCGGACCCACTAACAACACTGGGAGGACCACTAACAACCCACAACACTGGGAGGACCACTAACAACACTGGGAGGACCCACTAACAACACTGGGAGGACCACTAACAACACTGGGAGGACCACTAACAACACTGGGAGGACCCACTAACAACACAGGGAGGACCACTAACAACACTGGGAGGACCACTAACAACCCACAACACTGGGAGGACCACTAACAACCCACAACACTGGGAGGACCACTAACAACGCTGGGAGGACCACTAACAACCCACAACACTGGGAGGACCCACTAACAACACTGGGAGGACCACTAACAACCCACAACACTGGGAGGACCCACTAACAACACTGGGAGGACCACTAACAACCCACAACACTGGGAGGACCACTAACAACACTGGGAGGACCCACTAACAACACTGGGAGGACCACTAACAACCCACAACACTGGGAGGACCACTAACAACCCACAACACTGGGAGGACCCACTAACAACACTGGGAGGACCCACTAACAACACTGGGAGGACCACTAACAACCCACAACACTGGGAGGACCACTAACAACACTGGGAGGACCCACTAACAACACTGGGAGGACCACTAACAACCCACAACACTGGGAGGACCACTAACAACCCACAACACTGGGAGGACCCACTAACAACACTGGGAGGACCACTAACAACCCACAACACTGGGAGGACCCACTAACAACACAGGGAGGACCACTAACAACCCACAACACTGGGAGGACCCACTAACAACACTGGGAGGACCACTAACAACACTGGGAGGACCACTAACAACACTGGGAGGACCACTAACAACCCACAACACTGGGAGGACCACTAACAACACTGGGAGGACCACTAACAACCCACAACACTGGGAGGACCCACTAACAACACTGGGAGGACCACTAACAACCCACAACACTGGGAGGACCCACTAACAACACTGGGAGGACCACTAACAACACTGGGAGGACCACTAACAACCCACAACACTGGGAGGACCCACTAACAACACTGGGAGGACCACTAATAACACTGGGAGGACCACTAACAACCCACAACACTGGGAGGACCCACTAACAACACAGGGAGGACCACTAACAACCCACAACACTGGGAGGACCCACTAACAACACTGGGAGGACCACTAACAACACTGGGAGGACCACTAACAACACTGGGAGGACCACTAACAACCCACAACACTGGGAGGACCACTAACAACACTGGGAGGACCACTAACAACCCACAACACTGGGAGGACCCACTAACAACACTGGGAGGGCCACTAACAACCCACAACACTGGGAGGACCCACTAACAACATTGGGAGGACCACTAACAACCCACAACACTGGGAGGACCCACTAACAACACTGGGAGGACCACTAACAACCCACAACACTGGGAGGACCCACTAACAACACTGGGAGGACCACTAACAACCCACAACACTGGGAGGACCACTAACAACACTGGGAGGACCCACTAACAACCCACAACACTGGGAGGACCCACTAACAACACTGGGAGGACCACTAACAACACTGGGAGGACCACTAACAACACTGGGAGGACCCACTAACAACCCACAACACTGGGAGGACCACTAACAACACTGGGAGGACCACTAACAACACTGGGAGGACCCACTAACAACCCACAACACTGGGAGGACCCACTAACAACACTGGGAGGACCACTAACAACCCACAACACTGGCAGGACCACTAACAACACTGGGAGGACCCACTAACAACCCACAACACTGGGAGGACCCACTAACAACACTGGGAGGACCACTAACAACACTGGGAGGACCACTAACAACACTGGGAGGACCCACTAACAACCCACAACACTGGGAGGACCACTAACAACACTGGGAGGACCACTAACAACACTGGGAGGACCCACTAACAACCCACAACACTGGGAGGACCACTAACAACACTGGGAGGACCACTAACAACCCACAACACTGGGAGGACCACTAACAACACTGGGAGGACCCACTAACAACCCACAACACTGGGAGGACCCACTAACAACACTGGGAGGACCACTAACAACAATGGGAGGACCACTAACAACACTGGGAGGACCACTAACAACCCACAACACTGGGAGGACCCACTAACAACACTGGGAGGACCACTAACAACACTGGGAGGACCCACTAACAACCCACAGAAAAGTACCAACCTACACCACCCACTTAACCCATCGAGACAGTTGTAAACGTTAATATTACGTTGTTCTAAGGTTTAATAATACGTCATATTTTGAACGGTTTGGTCGATTTCGTAAATAATTGGACGTATTAGGAAGGTGTTTATATAGCGAGGTCTCTAATGGCGATAAGGAGAGGCTTTAGGTGATAGCACTGAGTGCCACCAGGTGGTGGCACTCAGTGGTGGGTAGAGTGCCACCAGGTGGCTCTCCATGTGGTGGCACTCACTGGTGGGTAGAGTGCCACCAGGTGGCTCTCCAGGTGGTGGCACTCACTGGTGGGGTGAGTGGCACCTGGTGGCTCTCCAGGTGGTGGCACTCACTGGTGGGGTGAGTGGCACCTGGTGGCTCTCCAGGTGGTGGCACTCACTGGTGGGGTGAGTGCCACCAGGTGGCTCTCCAGGTGGTGGCACTCACTGGTGGGTAGAGTGCCACCAGGTGGCTCTCCAGGTGATGGCACTCAGTGGTGGGTAGAGTGCCACCAGGTGGCTCTCCAGGTGGTGGCACTCACTGGTGGGGAGAGTGCCACCAGGTGGCTCTCCAGGTGGTGGCACTCACTGGTGGGTAGAGTGCCACCAGGTGGCT